CCCGTGAGTGGCACGACACACTGAGGACTACACTTGCGGCTCTTGGGTTCGCGCCTTCTACTGCTGACCCGTCGCTGTTTCTACGCACCGACACCTCACTGCCGCCGTTCTACATCCTCGTGTACGTCGACGACTTGGTCTTTGCCACTGCTGACACTGCGGCACTCGCCCACGTGAAGTCCGAGCTGCAGAAGAGACACACGTGCACAGACCTGGGTGAACTGACAAGCTATCTTGGCTTGCGGATCACCCGGGACAGAGCACGCCGCACCATCACCTTGACTCGGTCACACATGGTGCAGCAGGTCCTTCAGCGCTTCCGCTTCACGTACTCCTCGCCTCAGCCCACTCCTCTGCCTACCGGTCACTCGCTCTCAGCTCTGCCTTCGGATGAGTCCGTAGAGCCGAGTGGCCCATATCCAGAGCTTGTTGGTTGCCTCATGTACTTGATGACCTGCACTCGACCTGACCTTGCATACCCTCTCAGCATTCTTGCACGCTATGTCGCTCCCGGCCGTCACCGGAAGGAGCACATGGATGCAGCTAAGAGGGTGTTGCGCTACTTGTGCAGTACGTCAGGCATGGGGCTAGTTCTTGGAGGGCGACTCCTAGTTGTTCTCACTGGGCACTCAGACGCTTCTTGGGCAGACGACCAGGCTACTCAGCGGTCGTCTCAGGGTTACTCCTTCAGTCTTGGCTCTGGTTCAGTTTCTTGGCGTTCTACTCGCTCTTCTTCTGTTCTCAGCTCCAGTTGTGAGGCTGAGATCTACGCCACAGCCATGGCGGCTCAGGAGCTACGCTGGCTCACCTACTTGCTGAACGACCTTGGAGAGCAGCCTCGTTCTCCTCCAGTGCTGTACGTCGACAACAAGGCAGCCATTGCCTTGTGTCAGGAGCACAGACTGGAGCACAGAACGAAGCACATTGCTCTGCGCTACTTCCTTGCTCGAGAGCTGCAGCAGCGTGGTCAGCTTCGCCTGCGTTACGTGGCCTCTGAGGCCAACACTGCTGATGTGTTCACCAAGGCGCTTCAGCCTTGTGACCATCAGCGCTTTTGCACTCTTCTAGGCCTTGTGCTCACTGTACCTCACTTGCTTACTTCTTGAGTCTGTTTGTACTGTGATCTCTATATATATCTACCTGCATGTCTACTCTTGCTAGGTTGTGATCATTGTACCTCTTGTTCTATTATAAACCTGCATGTGAACTGGTCTTGTGACCACTTGCTTGTGCTCGGAATTTGTGTGGTATCCTTGAGATCCACCCTGAGCTTGTTTTGCCTTGCTTTGCCTTGACTGGTCTTGTGACCCCTAGTTCTCCCCCACTTTGCCTATGGGGGTGTGTCAAACATTATATATGTTGTTGTGTTTGTTTAGGCTACAGTGGGTTAGCCTATAGGGGGTACACAATTCTAGGGTTAGGTACTTGTACTATTTTCACTGCTAGTTCATCCCATTTTTTTTCCTGTTCAGTTATTCCAACAGAAATGTGGCTGGTGCATTAGTGAGTCTGAATGGCATCACGAGATACTCGTATGACCCATACCGAGTTCGAAAAGCGGTTTTGTGGATAGAGTTGTCCGCCATACGAATTTGCCAGTATCCCGATCTGAGGTCGAGCTTGGAGAATACCGTAGCACCGCGAAGTTGACCGAGTAAGTCGTCGATCCATGGTATCGGGTGTTTATTTTTTACAGTTTGCTTGTTCAAGGCTCGGTAGTCGATGCACATTCGCAGACTTCCGTCTGGCTTCGGAGTGAAGAGAACTGGAGCTCCGTACGGCGAAGTCGAAGGTCGAATCAGCCCTTTCTCCAGGAGATACTCTATTTGTTTTTTCATATCGGCAAGCTCTGTCGGGCTCAGCCGGTATGGTGCTCGGAACGTTGGCTTGGACCCCGGCTCTTCTACGATCTCGTGTTGATGTGTTCGGTATGGCGGTAGTTGATCAGGTAAATCGTCGGGGAGAACGTCCTGGAACTCTTCAAGAATTTTCTTGACTGCTGGAGGAAGTTCCTGGGTCTGCTTCTCTTCGTTGTCTGCTTCGTTGACTATCGCCATGAATTTCGCCGTGGTCCGTTTGACGTCCTTTTCAAAGCGTGCGAGTGTCTCGACTGGAATATTTCCCGTGTCGTCCTATTTGGGAAGGCTGATTTTCCTCCCGTTGTTGTTGATGTTGGCCGTCCGGTTAACCCAGTTGATCTCGGGGCTGAACTTTTTAAGAAAGTCTCTCCCGAAGATTACGTCGAGTCCTTTGATATTTGTGACGGGGAGAGCAGGCTTCCATCGAAGGGGTCCAATCTAGAGTAGTAACCGTGTTTCCCCGTAGATAGGTAGCTTACTGCCATCCACCATCGTTGCAGAGAAGCTTGAGGACTTGATGTCACCTCCGAGTCGATCGATTGCCTTTTTGTCATAGACGCTGTGCGACGCCCCGCTGTCCACGAGTGCTTGGAGGCGGTGTTTGTTGCAGATCACCTCGAGCAGGAGTGGTGAGCGTTGCTCGGAGTACCCAAAAATAGTCTCATCAATAGGATTATAGGGTACATCCCAATATTCAGTACACACCGTGGTTCCACTGTTTTCTCCTGGACAACCAGCTGGCCTGGGCTGCGTGGAGAAAAGCTCCTCTCCAACGCCAGGGGTAGAGGTAGTAACCGTACAGGTTGACCCTGAGGGGGTGGATCCGGTCGACGCCTGCGATCCACTGGATGCATCCTGGAGGGGTTTTGGGAGTTTCCGCAGCTTCATTTTAACTCCCAGCTGCCTCTTCAGCTGCTTCAGCTCCATAGACTTCTTCCCTGGGGAGTGGAGAGTCGTCCTGGGCTGGTTCTGGGAGAGGACGTTGACGCCGTGAAAAGGTCTACTACTTTCCACACTCCTTAATTTTTTCCCAAGCTCCGTAGGCACCGGTACCACTTCTTTAATTGTCTGCTTCCTCTGGAGTTCTTCCCGGAATTTGTTTATGGCTTTGGACCCGTGAAAATCACCAGTCTTCATTAAAGCATCTTTGGAAGATAACTTTAACGAATTCTGTTTTTTTCCCGGGTCGAATTGGAGAGTTCCCGTCTTGGTCGAGTCTATTTTCGCGGAGGTTTTCTTTTCCTCGGCGAATCCCTCTGACAAATTTCGGTCAAGGGGCTTGGGATTTCGCCCTTGATTCTCCAAATCTCGCGCCCAATGCTGTCCTTCAATTTCGATTCGGTCCAGATTGCGCTGACGCTTTCGGATCTGCTTTTCCTCGCCAGCACGATCCGCAATCACTGGCGAGATCCGTTTTTTTACTTTTTGTCTTTAGTTTCGCCACTCCCACGAGCTCGGAATGCCGCACGTGCAGATTTCATGTGAAAACAGTCGACAATCCGATGTCCGCTTCCGCCGCAAAATTCGCAAAACGTTTTGTTTTTTGCAGGTCGTGAATTCGCGTCGAATTTGTCGACTTCCATGGGGTCGGCGAACGTGGTTGAAGCCGAGCGATCCCCTTGTCGTGATCCGCCGACGTGGGGCCGTCGTGTTTCGGAGTTGACCAAGTCAAAACGCTCCGCGGCCGATACGATTTCGCTGTAGCTGCTGCAATTCGCTGCTGCAACCTGGCGCCGAATGTCGGTTTTCAGCCCCGCGATGTAGGACTGAATTTTTTCGCCCTCGGTAATGTCGGGAATGCGATTATAAAATTCCTCCCTCTACTGCGTGTATTGCGCGACACTCCCGAATTGCCTATGGTGATGTAATTTTTCGCGCGCAATATAAGTGGAATTAATCGGCTCAAAACGTTTGAGAAGGTCTGTCCGGAACTGCTACCACGTGGCTTCGCCCTGGAAAATGCTACTGTTGCTTACGAGCAACTCGAGAGCTGGACCGCGCATCAACGTTGTCGCGAGACAAATTTTCTCGCCGTTGTACTCCGTCGTCGACCATCCGATCGCCGCGAAATAAATTTCCATCGTCGCGAGCCATCGCCTGACGTCGGATTTTCGATCGCTAGGGTCGAACGATTCCGGCGAGCGAAGTTTCGGAACCTTGAACTGACGCTGCGACTGCTGCGAAGTCGTCGAAGCAGGAATGTTCATGGTCGAGAGGAGCTACGTAACGTGCTGCAGTTCATTTCGCAGCTGCTCGTTCTCCAATCGGGACCGTTCAATCGTCGCTCGCATCTCCGCTTCCATCTTGACGATTTGCGCGAAGAGCTGCTGCGTAACGTTGTTGGTCGCCGGCGAACCCATCCTGTTCAGAAACCTTGCGAGGGGGTTAATTCGAAAAGCGCGGAACTGGTGCTTACCAGAAATCGGCGTCGAATTGGTCGCCCCCGGCGGTTTTTCGAGGCGATTTTTTCCGCGACCGCTACTTAGCCATGAGTCGTCGAGTGAGAACGGCTCTGATACCAAGTGTCACAGGATCGAATTCTCAATCGAAACTTGTCCCTAAAACTGAATACAAGGCATTTTTATACTCGGAAAATACAAGGATAAACGAGATAAAACGAACCTTCGGGAACACGCCCTTCCCGATACTACAATCACAAGTGCGCACAAGCACGCAAGGCTATTGGCACTTGGGATTACGCCCAGATTACACCGTATACACTACTGTCGGTGCTGTCGGTGCCGTATAATAGGTATGTCAGTGGGAAAAGTAGGAAATAAGAGAAATAAATAGAAGGCTCTAGAAAATAGAATATGAGAAAAGTAGAACGAGAATGAATGACTAAGGAATGGAAGTGATACAAATATGCAACCCTAGAAATGTGTACCCCATATGGGCTACCCCACTATAGCATACACAATATTATAATTTGACACACCCCCATAGGCAAAGTGGGGGAGAACAAGGGGTCACAAGACCAGTCCAGCAAAACAAAGCAAAGCTCAGGGTGGATCACAACGTCACCACACAGTCCGAGCACAAGGTCAAGGCCACAAGGCCAGTTCACATGCAGGAGTACACATATATATAAGGCTAAACAAGCAAGAGCAAGTATATATATATGTAAGAGTACAAGCAAGGTCAAGGGGTGAGCAAGTGAGGTAAGACAGGCACAAGACCCAGCTGAGTGCAGAAGCGCTGATGATCACAAGGCGGAAGTGCCTTGGTGAAAACATCAGCAGTGTTGGCCTCAGAGGCCACGTACGCAAGTCGCAACTGACCACGCTGCTGCAACTCACAAGCAAGAAAGTAGCGGAGAGCAATGTGTTTCGTTCTGTGCTCCAGGCGCTGCTCCCGACACAAGGCTAGCATGGCCTTGTTGTCTACGTACAGCACCGGAGGAGAACGAGGCGGCTCTTCGAGGTCAGTCACCAGGTAGGTAAGCCAGCGAAGCTCCTGTGCAGCCATGGCCCCGGCGTAGATCTCAGCCTCACAACTGGAGCCGAGAACAGAAGACGAGCGAGTAGCCCGCCACGAAACAGAGCCGGAACCAAGGCTGAAGGTGTAACCCTGTGACGACCGCTGGGTAGCCTGGTCGTCTGCCCAAGAAGCGTCCGCGTGCCCAGTGAGGACCACTGGACTCTGCCCTCCAAGCACTAGCCCCATGCCCGACGTACTGCACAAGTAGCGCAACACCCTCTTCGCTGCAGCCATGTGCTCTGGTCTGTGTCTCCCAGGAGCAACATAGCGTGCAAGAATGCTAAGAGGATATGCAAGGTCAGGTCGTGTGCAGGTCATCAGGTACATGAGGCAGCCAACAAGCTCTGGGTACGGGCCACTCGACTCTACGGACTCATCCGAAGGCAGAGCTGAGAGCGAGTGGCGAGTAGACAGAGGAGTGGCCTGAGGCGAGGAGTACGTGAAGCCGAAGCGCTGAAGGACCTGCTGCACCATGTGTGACTGAGTCAGGGTAATGGTGCGGCGTGCTCTGTCCCGAGTGATCTGCAAGCCAAGGTAGCTGCGCAGTTCACCCAGGTCTGTGCACGTGTGTCTCTTCTGCAGCTCGGACTTCACGTGGGCGAGTCCAGCAGTGTCTGCTGTGGCAAAGACCAAGTCGTCGACGTACACGAGGATGTAGAACGGCGGCAGAGAGGTGCCGGTGCGCAGAAACAGCGACGGGTCAGCAGTAGAGGGAGCAAACCCAAGAGCCGCAAGTGTAGTCCTCAGTGTGTCGTGCCACTCGTGCAGTGCCTGGCGGAGACCGTAGACTGGCCGTCGGAGGCTCCACTGGGTGCCAGGAGGGAAAGTCCCAGTGAAGCCAGGTGGACGGCGCAACCAGATCTCCTCGTGCAGGCTACCCTGCAGGAAAGCTGTGCTGAAGTCAAGAGAGTGAAGCTCGTAGTCGCGCTGAGCGGCTATGTGCAGCAGCACCCGAAGAGTGGTCATCTTCGGGGTGGGAGAGAAGGTCTGAAAGTAGTCAACTCCCTGCCGCTGACTGAAGCCACGAGCCACGTACCGCGCCTTGAAGACAGGTGGAGAGCCCGGCGGCCACTTCACCCTGAAGATCCACATGCCACTGACGATGTTCGCCCCAGGAGGGGGAACCGCGTCAACGTAGGTGCCTGTGGACTTCCAGGAAGCCATCTCTGCATCCATAGCTGCCTGCCACTGAGAGGAGTAGGGACCCTCTACGGCCTCCGTATAAGAGCGCGGAGTCGGGATGTCTAGTGCATCCGGGTCTCCCTCAGGGGTAAGCAGTACGGACGCGAGATGAGGTGAAGCAGCAGCCAGACACTGGAACTCCTCCTGCCTGTCCTCAAGGACGTCCGTGCCAAGAGCGCTCTCACCCCCAACGGACGGAGGACAGACAGACGCTGACTCAGCAACAAGACTAGCAGCGTAGTCTAGACGACAGCGAGCAGCAAAGTCGACGAGCTCAGCAACAAGAGCAGACGCAGCAGTGGACTCAAAGGAGGGGTCACTGACGACAGTAGCAAGGAGACGCGTGACAGTAGGACTGGCAGCACGAAGAGAGTCCGACTCAGGGTCGGCAAGCGCAGGAAGAGAGGACTCAGGAGGAGAGGGCAAAGGGGCACGCAGAGGAGCAGTGGACGGACGCAGAGACATCCGGTGCGTGCCAGGGACAGGAGGAGGACGCTGACGCGAACTGCGACCACTAGTGTGAGCAGCACGAACAGGCGACGCAGGATGAGACGCAGGCTCACGACGCGCAGCAAGACCTCCAGTAGGACCAGTGTACGGAGAAGGAGAAGGCAGTGGGGAGGCCGGCGGTAACTGTGACTGCGACTGGACAGGCGGTGGACACTCTGAAGACCAAGAACCTGCTGAAAGAGCGGAACAAAGTACGGCCGAGGCCGCGCGGCGACTCCAGACACAGCAGGGACAGCACCAGCACTCCAAACGGCAGCACCAGCGTCAACAGCACCTCCAGCTCCAGCACCTCCAGCAGCACCAGCAGCACCCACAGCAGGACCGCCGCCAGGAATGACAGCAGTAGCCTCAGCGCCAACACCCTCAGCAGCTCCGACTCCAGTAGCACTCGCAGGACTAGCACCTCCGAGACCGGCGGCACCAGCACCCTTAGCAGCCAAAGAAGCACCAGCTCCAGTAGTACGCCCCCAGCGACGGGCAAATCACTCGTGCAGCTCCTGTGGAGAGAGTGGTTCCCGCCGAGACGAAGCACCCGGAGAACCACCAGGCCCAGCACCGCCAGACGCCACACGAGCAGGTCCAGCGGCCGCGGGCTCCGCACTCCCAGGCTCAGGAGTTCCAGACTCAGCACCCCCAGGCTCACTAGCTCCAGACGCAGCACCCCCAGGCGAAGGACCCCCAGGCTCAGCACCCCCAGTTGTAGCACCCCCAGGCTCAGCACCCCCAGTCGTAGCACCCCCAGGCTCAGCACCCCCAGGCTCAGCACCCCCAGTCGCAGCACCCCCAGAGTCAGCACCCCCAGGCTCAGCACCCGCAGCAGTACCAGAGTCACCAGCAACCTCGACCGGCTCGATTGCATCTACCTGGGACACACCTGAAGGGGCAGGACCCTGAGGGGGGAGGGGGTCTACCGGGGGGGGACCTGGCACAAGGAAGTGCGGTGGCGGGGGGAGGGAAGGAGTGCGGTAGGGGAAGAGGCGGTAGTAGGGTACTGACTCGTCGAACGTGACGTCCTGGGAGGACAGAACACCACGAGAGGTGGGGTGGTAGAACTGCCACCTAGGGGCGTCAGGGGGGAAGCCAAGGAAGACATAGGGAGCAGCACGAGGGGACAGCTTGTCCGCAGACAAGTCGCGGACAAATGCCCGAGATCCCCAGACACGGAACGCCGACGCATCGCCGACCTTCCCCGTCCACAGCAAGGCTGGGGAGGTCTCCGGTCTGGAGACCCTGGGGTGAAGGTTGATCTGATGCGCCGCGTACCGAACCGCAAACGGCCACAGAAAATGGGGGGCAGCCGCATGCATCATGGACGTACGAGCGACGTCCATGACCATGCCTATGCGGCGCTCAACAATCCCATTTTGCTGTGGAGAGTCCGGAAGCGTAAAGGTCTGGCGGATGCCTCACGCACGACAGTAGGCTCGCAGAAGGCCAGAGGAGAACTCTCCGCCTCGGTCAGAGTGCAGACGCAGAACAGGAAAGTCCGAGCCGAAGCTCCTCCTGAGCTGGAGACGAGCTGCGCGGATCCAGTCGATCAACACCTCAGCGACATCACCCTTGCTGCGCAAGGGGAAGACTGTGGTGTAATGCGAGTAGTCATCAACCACCAGCAGGAAGTAGCGCTCGTGACCCTGTCCACGTACGCGGGCCGGGCCCCACACGTCCATGTGAAGCGTCTCCAGCGGGGCCTCTGTCGGGGGAAACTGAGAGGAGTGAGGGGCAGCCCGGAGTCACAGGGGACACAGGAAGGACCAGGCCCCGGAGGAAGGGGAGGGAGGGTCCGGGGAAGACCAGAGACAAGGACACGGGAAGCCATGCCTCGGAGACGAGGCAGGGAGGGGTGACCAAGACGGTGGTGCCAGAGGAGAGTCTCGTGAGACAGGAGGCGACACGAGTAGGGGGCAGACTCAGGACCAGACCTGGACGCTGCAGCAAACACCTGACCCGACGCAGCTACCTGACCAGACGCAGTGACTAGAGGAGACGCAGTGGTCAGTGTGTACAGGCTCGACCCCGGCCGACGTGTAAACGTGGCCAGGTGTCGGCCTGTCCGAGCGTCCGTGCAGTGGGTCACGCGCTGACTCGCAGGAGTGAACTGGTGAACCCCCGTATCCTGCAGGTCACCACCACTCACCAAGTTCGTAGAGAACGAGGGGAGGTAAAGACCAGACAAGGTGCCGGAGGGGGCAGCCGGACACGGGAGGACAGTGGAGAAGTGAGAGAGGACAGGACCCCCAGAGGGGTCTGCCAGGGAGACTGCAACTGGCCGACCAAGCGGCGTGAGTGTGGTGCGGTCTCGAAAGAAGGAGCGAGAAGCCCCTGAGTCAAGTGTGAAGGTGAGGGAGGCCGAAGCCGACGTGGTACCTGAGAGCGCAGACTCACCAGCAACTGAGGGCGCGGACGCACTGGCAACTATAGCAGCAGCCTCACCAGTACCTAGAGCAGCAGTACCAATGCTCGGGTCGGGCGGGAAACACCGGTAACAGTCACCCTCATCACTAATAGTCACAGCATACATGGCAGCAAGGATAGCATCAAAGTCAAGATCAAAGATAGCTTCGTCTGCCCTAGACAGCCCTCCCCAGCGGGAGATCTCACTAGCCTCCGGGAACTGCTGACGCCAAGCGTCCGTCAGGCGGCCAAAGCAGCGCTGGGTGGGGTGAGCACCCCCACACTGCTCACCCGCGCGGTCGCCGGAGCGAAGGACGTAGGTGCACGGGCCGAAACCCCCACCACGCTGACGCTGCGTGTACCACTCACGGAGCTGCTGAGGAGGGGGGATGTCCCGAGAACGCTGCTGCTGCTGCTGCTGGCGCTGACCACTCCCGGAGCCGCTCCGGTGAGAAGAACCACCCTGACCAGCTCCACCTCCTCCACCACCGCCGCCTCCACCTCCGCCACCACCGCCGCCTCCGCTCCCACCGCTACCGCCACCGCCGCCTCCGCCTCCGCCGCTGCCACCACCACCTCCACCCCCGCCACTACCCCCATCGCCACCCCCACTCCCCCCGCCGCCTCCACCGCCACCTCCACCACCCCCGCTAGCCCCACCCGCGCCCTTGCCCCCCTTGCCCTTGCCAGAGCGGCGTCTCCCGCTAGGGGCAGACGCCGCACCGACCGACTCAAGACCAACGAGGTCGGCCGCAGCAGCAGAGGCGACACAGGGCAACAGGGGGGAAGGGGAACACCCCTCAAAGATGGGGGTGCGAGGGTCACCACGAGAGGCTCCTACAGGGACTATGCTCTTCTCCGCCGCTAGGAGGGCCTTCTCTAGGAGGTCAACAGTAAGAGTGGTGGGACAGACTGAGAGGAAGTGGTCCCTGACTACACGAAGGGCATCAGGGAGGCGGGTGACTATATAATAGAGAGTGATGTACATGGGGGGGGGTTCTTGGCGCAGAACTCAGCAGGAAGCGCGGCGCGGTAGCGAGTGTCACTAGTGCGGAGGTGCGTAATGAGGTCAGCGACTGTGGGAAAGGCAGCAAGGTCAGGAAAGAGGTACGGTAGCATGAGGCGGCTCAGTGCAGCAGTGGCAGGGGAGGAGTAGCGTGCAACGACAGCGTCGTACAAGGTCTGAGCACTCTTGTACTGGCTAAAGTGCGCGTGCTCAGTGGTAGGCAGGTGGCGACGCACAGCAAGACGTGCAGCAGCATCGCGAGTGGCCCACTGGGAGCAAACAGTGGCGTCGGCATCGGCAGCAGGGGTAGGGGAAGCACCAGAGGTGAGGTCAAAGAGGGAAAGACCGTCTGCCCTATCGCACTGTAGGAAAAGCTGCAGGTCATCCACCCAAACCTCAAAGTCAATGGCTCGACCCTCAGCGTCAAAAGCGAGAACACTGGGGGTAGCCATGACAACAGTGGACTAGCAGTACCAACTGTAGGACAGGGGCAGTGCAGTGACAGAAGCGCTGCTCTCACCAGGCAGGGCGGGTCGGGCAGCTCAGCGGTACAGCAGCATGGCAACACGGCTGCTCGGACGGCACTGCAGCAACTGCGGCTCCGTGGCACCAGCGGCTCGGCTCCTCAGGCGGCTCGGGCGGCTCAGGTGGCTCGGGTGGCTCGGGCGGCTCGGGCGGCTCGGGCGGCTCGGGCTGCTCGGGCGGCTCGGGCGGCTCAGGAGAGTCGGGCGGCTCGGGCGGCTCGGGCAGCTCGGGCAGGTCGGGCGGCTCGGGAGGCTCGGGCGGTTCGGGCGGCTCAGGCGGCGCGCGCGGTGTAGGGCGGCAGGGCCGCTGGTGCGAGGGGCGGCTAGGCCGCTGAGAAGGGCGGCGAGGCTGCTGCGGAAGGGCGGCGGGGCCACTGAGTAGGGCGGCGGGGCCGCTGAGCAGGGCGGCGGGGCCGCTGAGGAGAAGGGCGGCGGGGCCGCTGAGTAGGGCGGCGGGGCCGCTGAGGAGAAGGGCGGCGGGGCCGCTGAGGAGAAGGGCAGCGGGGCCGCTGAGTAGGGCGGCGGGGCCGCTGAGGAGAAGGGCGGCGGGGCCGCTGAGTAGGGCGGCGGGGCCGCTGAGGAGAAGGGCGGCGGGGCCGCTGAGTAGGGCGGCGGGGCCGCTGAGTAGGGCGGCGGGGCCGCTGAGCAGGAAGGAGGGGCCGCTGAGGAGAAGGGCGGCGGGGCCGTTGAGTAGGGCGGCGGGGCCGCTGAGGAGAAGGGCGGCGGGGCCGCTGAGGAGAAGGGCGGCGGGGCCGCTGAGTAGGGCGGCGGGGCCGCTGAGGAGTAGGGCGGCGGGGCCGCTGAGTAGGGCGGCGGGGCCGCTGAGGAGAAGGGCGGCGGGGCCGCTGAGTAGGGCGGCGGGGCCGCTGAGTAGGGCGGCGGGGCCGCTGAGGAGAAGGGCGGCGGGGCCGCTGAGTAGGGCGGCGGGGCCGCTGAGGAGAAGGGCGGCGGGGCCGCTGAGTAGGGCGGCGGGGCCGCTGAGCAGGGTGGCGGGGCCGCTGAGGAGAAGGGCGGCAGGGCCGCTGAGTAGGGGCGGGGCCGCAGCGACGGGCTGCGAGGCCGCAGAGACGGGCGGCGGGGCCGCGATGCGGGGCGACGGGGCCGCTGTGACGGGCGGCGGGGCCGCACTAAAGGGCGGCGGGGCCGAAACGAAGGGCGGCGGGGCCGCTAGGGGAAGGGGCCGCTAGGGCGTAGGGGGCCGCTAGGGCGGCTCGGCAAGGTGAGAGCCCGGAGCGCGACTCGGGCGGAGCGCGCTTCGGGCAGGAGAGAAAAAAAATTTGAAACTCGATGTGGTGGGCCCTAGGCACAGTTCCCAAGGGGGGACCTGCTCGATACCATGAGAAAAGTAGAACGAGAATGAATGACTAAGGAATGGAAGTGATACAAATATGCAACCCTAGAAATGTGTACCCCATATGGGCTACCCCATTATAGCCTACACAATATTATAATTTGACAGAACAGTAGGCCGATTGAGATGAGATAAAGACCAAAATAAAGAGGAGAAAAGGGAGAATAGGATAACGGAAAAATATAATAGTGAGAAAATATTATAACGGTGACGTCCTCTCACAACCAGCCGGCAATAGGGGAAATCGCTGAGACTAATCGAGGCTCCACAAAACAAGACATTGCACCGACCGGGAAACTCCAGCCGAACACCCCCGGGAGTAAGAATATTCCCTCTCGAAGTTTTCAAGCCTTTAAAATTTTCAGGGTAGATTTCAAGGCCAAGTAAAAGCCTTTGGACATTATTCAAGTACCTGATACGTTGGGCAAACCACTCAGGAGCGTTGAAAAGGGTCGTGCGTTCCAAGGAGTTAATATTCTCTCCCCGCAGCACGGTGTTAAGGTTCCCCATTGCCCACAGGCGAAGCCTACACAGCTGCAAAGGCTTAGGGGAAGGTTCCAGGTCCAGACGAAGCTGAATCGGCCTCGGATAAATCCTTCTAAAACTGCTCAGTTAAAAACCAATATCGAGTCAGCAGCTTCGAGCGCAGAACCTAGGGGGAATATATTCGACGTACCCTATGATCCTATAGGCGAGACCGTCCACGGTTACTCGGAGCAGCAACAACCACTATTACTCGAGGTGATCTGCAACGGGCGACGCCTCCAGGCACTGGTGGACTGCGGTGCGTCTCATTCGGTTTGCGACCACGGGACGTTGGAGAAAATTGGGGAACCTTCCGAGGAGACCAAGTTCACGGCAAGAATGGTGGACAGCACGAAACTTCCCATCCATGGCGAAGCATCACTGCAGCTGCACATAGGGGCGCTGAGGTGGAAGCCGACGTTGCCGATCACGAACATCAAAGGTTCAGATTTCATCTTAGGGCGGGATTTCTTGAAGTGGTTCAACCCCGAGATCGATTGGGTCAACAGGAAGGTGTGCATCTACAACAATGGGAAGCGGATAGCACTACGAAGCTGGACGGATACAGGGAACGTTCCTGAAACGACACTGGCACGGTTTGACCAGACGGTGAATGAGAGTAACACGGGATACCTAGCACTGGTTATGGCAGCAGCAGAGGAGGAGAAGCCGAACATAGAGCTGCCTGCGGCAGTGAAGGAGGTCTTCGAGCAGTACAAAGATATAGTGCCCGAGGACCTACCTACAGGCGTTCCTCCGGCACGCACCCACGAGCACAAAATCGTGGAGGAACCAGGTGCGAAACCCGTCTCACGTACACCGTACCAACTGAGTCCGACCAAACAGACAGACATGAAGAAACAAATAGAGAATCTACTGGACAGACAACTGATCCGCCCATCCACCTCTCCGTACACTGCACCAGTTCTCTTCACTCCAAAACCAGACGGCAGTTTACGGATGTGCATCGACTACCGCGCACTGAACAAACAGACAGTTAAAAACAAATATCCCATACCGCGCATAGACGACCTACTCAATCAACTGCTTAGAGCAACAGTATTCTCGAAGCTGGACCTACGGTCGGGTTACTGGCAGATCAAGATGGTAGACAACTCGGTCCACAAGACGGCGTTCCGTACCAGATACGGCTCCTACGAGTACTTGGTGAAGCCGTTCCGACTATGCAACGCACCAGAAACGGTTCACGCAGAGATGAATCACATCTTACGACCCTTGCTGGACGAGTACATAGTGGTGTACATGCACGACATTCTTATCTACTCCAAGAACATGAAGGAGCACGTGGAGCATCTGTGGAAGGTGTTCGAGATCCTACTAAAAAACAAGTTCTACGTGAAGCTGTCGAATAGCGACTTTGCCCTGAAGAAGGTGCAGTTTCTCAGACACATGGTAAGTGCCGAGGGCGTACACGTGGACCCGCGGAAAATCGAAGCCGTTAAGAAGTGGAAAGTACTGGAGAACGTGAAGGAGTTGCAGTAGTTCCTAGGCTTCGCCAACTACTCCAACAGGTTCGTGCCGCAGTACGCTAAGATAGCAACGCTACTGACCGATCTACTGGAAAAGGATACGCCCTACAAATGGGACACTCCTCATCAGCGAGTCGTGGAGCAGCTACAGACAGCACTGACTACAGCGCTAGTACTCATCCTACCGGACCCAGACAAGAGACTACGTAGTGGAAGCAGACGCTAGTGACCAAGCAGTCGGAGCAGTATTGATGCAGGATCACGAACGCGGTTTGCAGCCCATCGCCTACCTCAGTAAGAAGCTACACAGAGAAGAACTGAACTACCCCATCCATGACAAGGAAGCCTTAGCGATAGTCATAGCCTTCAAGGCGTGGAGGTGTTACCTAGAGGGAGCCAAGACTACAGTCTATACTGACCACTACAGTCTCAAATACCTAAAGTCGCAGCCAACGCTCTCACGACGACAGGTGCGATGGGTGGACTTCTTGAAGACCCACTTCCACTACGACATCATCTACAAGCCTGGGCTAAACAACAAAGCAGACGGGTTGAGCCGCCCCGGTAATGTAGCAGGCATCTAGCTCGATGGGATGAACCATCTGCTCAAGGGTCTATTCCAACATGGATACTCCGTGGACGCAGAGATTGCTCCAGCACAGACTAAGAAGCTGTTACAGTGGGAGAAAGACTTAGCTGTAAGGAAGGGCACAAAAAATATTTGGGTACCGAATTACGCCCCGTTACGGCAGATCCTATTAGAGGAGTTTCATGACGTACCATATGCGGGACACTTCGGAAGCAACAAAACGTTAGCGGGAATAGCGAAGTATTACTACTGGCCCGGGATGGCAGCAGACGTGCAGCAGTTCGTCACCTCATGCGACTCATGCCAGCGGATGAAGAGCAGCAAGCAGAAAAAAACCAGGGTTACTTCAGCCTCTACCCGTACCGCAGCAGCCATGGCAGGTCGTTACCCTCGACTTCATCACAGGACTTCCTTCGACCTCACAGGGCCACGATTCCATCCTCGTAGTGATCGATAAGTTCTCCAAAATGGGTCACTTCATACCAACCAACGCCACAGCTACAGCTGAAGCAACTGCTTGCCTCTTTTTCGACCGCATCATCACCATCCAAGGCATCCCCGCTACACTCATCTCAGACAGAGACCCAAAATTCACCAGTAAGTTCTGGAAGGAGCTCATGGGACTGTTGGGGACAAAGCTTGCAATGTCTTCAGCATACCACCCCCAGTTTGACGGACAGACAGAGCGACTCAATCAGATGGTTGAACAGTTACTGCGCACAGCTTGCAAAGACGACGTCAGCCACTGGGACACACAGTTACCGACCCTAGAGTTCGCTTACAACAACGCGTCACATGCGGCCACATGGTAAACTGCTTTCTTCCTGTGTTACAAATGGGAACCACTCACACCACAACAGCCAACTACACTGGCACACGTCCAAGCCGCACATGACTTCGTCACTCTATAGGAGAAGACTCAGCGACGTCTCACCACGATGCAGAACTCCCAGAAGCCGTATGCCGATCGCCAGCGACGTGATCACTCGGTAGCAGTCGGAGATCAAGTGCTTATTGACACGTGCAACTTGAACCTGTCTCACCTACCATCCAAGCTCCGGCCTCGCTTTTGTGGTCCTTTTCTCGTTGAGGCACAGGTGACACCAGTAACATTCCACTTGCGCTTACTTACTACTTGGAAGCTTCACAATGCTTTCCATGTTCAGCTACTGAAGCCCTACAAGGACCCCAACCAACAGTTCGAGGGATGGCAGCTACTGCCACCACCACCTGTTCTCATGCAGGATGAACCAGAATACAAATTGGAGCGCATTCTCACTCATCAGTGCCTCGGCAGCAAGACCCTCGAGTTCCTGATACGCTGGAAGGGATACGACCCCACTGAGGACAGTTGGGTTGCAGACGCTGGTATGGGCAACGCACGCCGTGCTCTCAAGGACTCTTATCAAGCATGGTGTTTCTCATGCCATCCAGCTTTGAGGGGGGGACGTGTGAGAGTACGACGGCTTATGCTGGCTTTGCTAGCTTGCCTTGACTTTATTATGCTATATCTAGCTAAGGTTTATTTTATCATGCATAGATATGTCAAACATTATATGTGTTATGCTTGTGTAGGCTACAGTGGGTTAGCCTATAGGGGGTACACAATTCTTGGGTTTCCTACTTGTACTCATTTCACTGCTAGTTCATTCATTCCTGTTTACTTGTTTCACATGGTATAGAGCGGGTCCTTCCTAAGGACCGTTTTTTTAGGGCCCACCGAAGTGCGCCCCGAGGCGCGCATTTTTTTTCGCGACCCTTCGGGTCGCCATTGCTCTCGCGGCCCCACTGTCCCTCTGACGCGGCCCCGCCACCCCTGCTTGACGCGGCCCCGCCGCCTCCTCTGCAGCGGCCCCGCCGCCTCCTCTGACGCAGCCCCGCCGCCCGCTGATCGCGGCCCCGCCGCCGGCTCTGACGCGGCCCCGCCGCCGGCTCTGACGCGGCCCCGCCGCCCGCTGATCGCGGCCCGCCGCCGGCCCTGACGCGTCCCCGCCATCGGCTCTGACGCGGCCCCGCCGCCGGCTCTTAGCCGGCCTCGCCGCCGGCTCCAACGCGGCCGCGCCGCCCGCCTCGACGAGGCCCCGCCGCCGGCTCTGACGCGGCCCCGCCGCCGCCTCCTGATCGCGGCCCCGCCCCGGCTCTCTCGCGGCCTCGCCGCCGGCCCTGACGCGGCCCCGCCCCGGCTCTCACGTGGCCCCGCCGCCGGCTCTCTTGCGGCCCCGCCGCCGGCTCTCTTGCGGCCCCGCCCCGGCTCTCTTACGGCCCCGCCGCCGGCCCTGACGCGGCCCCTGCCTCGGCTCTCGAGCGGCCCCGCCGCCGGCTCTCTTGCGGCCCTGCAGCCAGCTCTGAAGCGGCCCCGCCCCGGCTCTCACGCGGCCCCTGCCCCGGCTCTCAAGCAACCCCGCCGCCGGCCCTCACGCGGCCCTGCCGCCGGCTCTGACGCGGCCCCGCCCCGGTTCT